TCGACCACGTTTATCTGGAAGTACCTGTATGACCTAATTCCCTGAAATCTGCCCTAAACTAATTGAACTCTCAAAATCTTTTAAACACCTCTCTAAGGATTAAAATTGCATTCTTTATCCTTACAGAAATTTGTCGGTGGTGCATCGTAAATTTCGTAGACAATGTGCATCCGCTCAAATTATGTTTAAATGTAAACTAAAAAACAAAAGAAAAAATACATCAATAGAGAAAACTGCAGTCACTTTTTTGGCATTTGTTTTGATTGTTGTTTCATTTAAGTTACCTTAAGTATCGATCTGTCAGTCCAAATACACCTGCAATGGGAGGCACGAGTAAATAATAAAACCTTGTGGAGTGATGGAAACGTTAATTTTCCTACAATTAGCGAATGAAAAACAAAAACGAAAAAGGATCAGACGGCGCGTTGTGGTAGTTATTATTGCAGTTTCGTAATCATCTGAAGCGTTTATTAAGGATCCGCATAGACATATATATATATATTTACCGAGGAACAGGCGCAGGCAGTAGGATAGACAGACAGATAGACGTACAAGAGCGAAAGAAAAGCATTTCCACGTTGAATTTGCGGAGGGAATACGGAACGGTACAGTCGCGGTTTTAATTAGGAGATGAGGTTGATACTCTCTTGAGGTGACGGTGGAACGAAAACTACGCAAACATTTTAGGTAGTTACTCAGATGTATATGTATGTGCGGAATTACCGCAGAATTAAGGATCTAACTTACAAGTAATGAACGACGACTGTGTTGTGTACGGAAAACTTTATCTGTACGACCACAATGCACAAGCATTTCTTTTAATTACGAAGGACATAGTTGCGTAATGTAATTAAATTCCCTTTAACATGATCATGGCCCTTATCAGCATACGGAAATTGCACCTTGCGAACAAATCAGTATCAAACAAGTAACTGGCAGTATATTGCCATCTACAGATATTTGCTGCTAACTGTAACATTTCACTTCATTTGGGCGTTCCGCTCCCATCAACTACTAATGCTGCTGACGAGCAATCCCTCCGTGTGGGGAAGCGGGAGGCTCCTTTTAACCTCCTTTTAGGAATCGTGGGAATGTGTGGGTAGAAGTTGGGGGGGGGGGTGTTAGAAGTAAAGAGTAGTGACAGATTATCAGTGGAATATTATGACTGTATTAGAATTTGCCTGAGTGATCCAGGAATTAAAATCTAATATCCGACGGGACTTGAACCTTGACGAAGTCCTGGTACAAACTAGAGTGGGTGGATTGACTTGCGAGTTTCGATGATTTTGGGAGCAGGACCATAGGGTCAACCATAATGGAGAAGTTTATGCAAAAAAACCAGACTAAGACAAGCCCCTGAAGGAGGGCACCAGTTCTTTCAGTAGTCAGGGCGGCAGAGATCATGAGGATCGGTATGGAACTCTGATGCGCAATACTGCGATGTGGAAGGCAACGGGAAACCACCACATTATGATATTCCAAAAAAAAACACGCCAAACTCGAATGATGACGTCCTCTGGGGTAAAGCATTCCAGACGTAAACTAGTCCCTCAGTCGAATGTTCAGGCGGGGACTACCTCGGGGGATGTCATCAATCAGTGCAATAGAGGAAGGTGCATTATGTCACGAGTCGGAGCGTGGAAATTAGAGAACTTGAAAGTTGAAATGAATAGATTGCTAAAGGTGTATGTTTGGAACGCGGCGCTGTACGGATGCGAAACATAGACGGTGGGCGCGGTGGAAAATAAAAGGTTAGAAGTGTTCGAAATGGTGTTAGAGGTGAATGATGAAGATACCGTGGATAAATAAGGTCAGAAATGAAGAGATATTACAAAGAATAGCAGAATAGAGGACTCTATGGAAGTCAATAAAAAATAGTCGAGATAGATTGCTAGTATACCTTCTCAGGCTTGAAGGTCTAGTCAGAGACGTATTAGAGGCAGAAACATTAGTTAAAAGGAGTGGAGGTGCGTGTCTAACCAGTCTTATGATGATGATCGAGACGAAATTGGGTATTACTGACTGATAAACCTACCTTGACAAAGCATTCAAATAGAAAGGCGAAACGTTAATGTCGCTTTAACGAAATAAAATCTTTTTACCATTATTTTGCTTATTAAAAATTTTTACGACTTATACTTAGGGGGAAGAATTAGAAATAATTTTTTTTTATTTAGTACAGTAATATTTTATCTATTTTTGTTGGGCTGTAAGTAACTATATGTACATGTAGTATTTAGTTTTTCTTACCTTGAGGCCAGTCTTTTTCGCCTGTCCAACCACCTCATCTGCTGGTCCTGTTCAGTTTGTTCGTCCACACCGAAGAAAGTTGCTGTTTCTCTTTTAATAAAATTTTTAATTGCATCTTTTCGAGACATGGTACGTTCAAGTTTTGGCCTTTCTCTAGTTGGTATTCGCTCACTCTGGCTGTAATCAACTTTTCGCTCGGGCCGGCATCGTTCTGGTGGTGGAACTGGTAGAGAAACGGCCCTATGATGAACAGGTATCGAGGGGTGAGGCGAGCTAGGATGTGAAGTAACATCTTGCGATTTTTCCAACAGTAGCTGAAACAAAACGTTTCGTAAAGTTTTATTTCTTTATTTAGTATCTAATCTAACACAAAAACATATTACGAAAGAACTGATGTACAATTCTCAGGTTAGTGACTATTTATAAGCCTTCTATCAGGGGGTTGACAGGTTGGTTCAAATGTACCGGCCGGTCGACGCAACTTGCATGTGCAAAGACAGATGATTGATCCATTCGGCCCTTAACATTACCTTGGAGGTGGGAAAAAGTTCTATCTCGAGCGTTTTTAATGTTACATAATACTTAACAGCTGAGCAAGCGTTTCAGTTTGCTCACAACCTGCAACGGAGTACTGATAAGCGGTGTAGCGTCGCAATTTTCAAGGTTAATGTATGATGAAAAACTTGCAGAGATAAAATTGTCAATGTTGGTACCACAGTTATGTTTATAAAATAAACAATTAAACACAAACAACACTGAGCAGCCATTGAGGTTTTTACAGCTATTACAAAGAAAATTTATTTGAAACTGTTTGGATTATATTAATAGTTGACCATCGAAATTTGCCATACCTCTTATTAGCATGTACTATGAAAAGAGGGAAATGAAACTCCTATTTTTCGAAGGATTATGTAATATCCGAACAGAAGCAGTGTATCGCCATCTGGTGGGGATTTAGACGTTCTTATTCGAAAGATACTGTGCCAAACACGTGCACAAAACAAAAATCATTTGTAAAACTCATTCGTCCATGTTGCTTTTAAAGCAGCTAAATTTTAATTCAAATGAATTTATAATTAATGCTACCCTGCCACGCAAGCTGACCAGGTTTATTCTCGATCGATATAATACGTTCTTTTTCTTCTTATGTCAGGTAATATAACTTGGTCGAATATCGATTACATACGAAATCTAGTACTATTAAATTGTTTTTCATATCTCTCATTTTTTTGATCCTTAAGTAGCTTCATCAATATTTGGAGAAGTTTATGTGCCTTACTCTCTTTCATTGTTTAAAAATTCGTGAGTTTGAATAAGGGAAGGTTATTTTCTGTAGATTTAGGAATTTTCTCTACAAGGACAAAATAAGTAAGTTAACGGTAATCCCTATTTCATATTATCCGGTGCTAGATGGGCTAACCTCACGAAATTGAAGGGCGTCACCGATAACTTCGTCCTTGTCTTTATAGCCCGCACCATTTCCCTGCTCCTTAACAACAATTTCGACTTCCTCTTGTTGCTTCAGTTCGAGAGTTTCGTCCAAATTAACAAACTCTGGGGGAAAGTCGGCCATATCTTCACTTCACTAATTCGATTGCTTTTTTGACGGCACATAATTAGAAGGGCTTATTGCCGTTACTTGAAAAACGACAGATCAAAAAATAACTTTTCTTTTTGACTTTGACATTTTTTTTTAACAACCGAATAAAATACGTCATTTGTAATTTGCATAACTTTACAAGTACCCACGCGTTTTATCTTTACAATATTTTAATATATTTTTCGGTAAAAGTGACTATAAGGTGACTCAAAAACAGCCCATTGAGAGTGATTTGTGTGAATAGCATTAATGGTTCTTTACTGCTCTTGGAGCGTATTTTCAGAATTGTACAGGTGTGAAAATAAAACGTTAGNACTATACCATTGCTGTCTACCGAAAATGTTAGTCAAATCCCTTTTTTCTCTCTCCACCGTTTGACTGACAACGTTTACATCATATATTTCGATAAAGAGACTTTTATTTATTTTATGTCAACTGTATCGCGAAACGATCTGTTGAAAAGCTGTGCTTTGAATGGAAACTACTCCATTTTATATGAATCACGTCATTAATTAAATGGTTCTCATAAAGTACACGAATTGCATGAGGGAACAACCGATTGAAAAAACGAAATCAAAGTGTCATTTGATGTGAAATTAATGAACATAAAGCGATTTTGATTAGCGTATTATCATTGCAAAACTCATAAAAAGCCTATTTGATTTATTACTATTTCAATAAGAGGAGTAGTTTTATTGCTATTGCTTATTGGTCAATTGAACTTTTAATAAATCATTGTACAGTATAGTACAAGCAATACGACGGTGTTTGCTACGATGAGTGTACCAGGATTACTTCCTGTAGGAAATAAAAATATCCTAATGGTTCAATAAATAAATTTTTGCAGAATAAATAGGATTTTTTATTTGAAATGATGTGGTCAAATTCACTAAAAATTGCGTATTTATGCTTATAAAGTTTGCACGGGATTTATTTGAAAGCTTTATTTAAGTTCACTGGCACTATTAAACAAATACGTATTTACGTACTGTAAGGGTGAATTGGGGGTTAAAAGTAGCGAGGAGAAGCCAGTCAAATATAAAAGCGAGGACAATTAGGACCATTGGAAGAAAAAGTATTCAGAAAAATTTGATTCGATCGCATTTTTCGCACATCCCTGATAAAAATAATAAAAACAAAGACGACTTACCGTTACGACGTATGATATTCCATCCCATGTCATTCTGGCGACAGAATTTTTTCTTCGGACCCTAGCGGTGGGATAATGTACGCCGTCCGGAATGTCGCTGGGCCCCGGCAAGACGTCAGGACGTTCGGCGTGAAGAGTACCAGGAGCGGCATGAGACGGAGGAAATTCGGACACCGGCCTCCTCAAAGTCCTACCACTTGGCGGTAACTGAAATTCGTCTTTTAGTGGTCCGTATGTCCTGCAAAGAAGAATTTACAAAAATTAGGGTTTCAATTTTTCAATATCATTTTAGCAATCGCCAGAAATAAGTTTCTCTTTTATATTTTACTCGGCAACATCGAAGATATATTTCAATTGCTCTTCTTCAAACTTTGAATAATTGTCGTATCACTTTCTGCATAACAAATTCGTATCATTGCCAATAGAGTGGGTACATTTAAATTTGTGATCTTGAAAGGGATAAATAGCTGTAATTCTGTTCGCGCTATCCCTTAGGGGTTTCCCATTCTTGGATAGATATAGCGAGTAATTTTCAGGTCGAGCGAAGTTCGTCGCTCGGGAAAAGCGAAAGCACTGAGCGAGCGTAACAGCCATTTTGATTATTTTAAACAACGAAACGTTGGCAGGATTGTTAAACTGGAATATTTCAAAGAATAGAAAGATACGTGGAACTGATGAATTCGAGATATGATCCAAAATATGACATTGCACAGACTCATTGGTGATACTTTCATCATTATGATCATAAGGTCGTCAGTCCTAAGACTGGTTGGACACGCACCTCTACTCTTTCCTATCCTGATCTAATCTTCGCATTTCCCTAAAACTAGAACAGCCCACATCTTTAACTATTTGCGAACAGTAATCTAATCCAGGTCTACCTCTACCCCTCCTAACTCCTGTTTCTGCCACTAATATGTCTCTGACTAGACCTTCATGCCTAAGAAGGTGTCCTACCAACCTATCCCGCCTATATTTATTGACTTCCATAGAGTCCTCTGTTCTCCTTTTCCTTCCAATACCTCTTTATTCCTAACCTTTTCTACCCACGATATCCTCATCATCCGCCTATAACACCACATTTCGAACGCTTCTAACCTTTTCTTTTCCGCCGCGCCCACTGTCCATGTTTCGCACCCGTACAATGCCGTGCTCCAAACATACACCTTTAACAACCTTTTTCGAATTTCTAAATTAACCGTTC